GAAAGGGGAGTTTGAGCATAACGCGTTTTAATTATTGGTAGCTGCTTGCCACGGTGAAAAAGAGAAAATTGAGAAGAAACAAAGAAAAGCGCTCTCTATCTTTGCGGTGGAGGACCGTGGAAAAGTGGAGGAACGGGGCTAAAATGAACAAAATAAAATAAAAATAAAAAGGAAGAAGGAGGAGAGAAACGCTTTTTAGAGATGGATGGAGTCTAGAAATTTGTAGGATGCTTGCCGATACGCCGTTCGATACCTTCTTCTCTAAGCTCATCAATTTACGTTAATAGTCTTCTCTTATAACCCTCCCACCCCTCATTCCACTATCTTTCTTTCTCAAATGTAATCGAAGCTCTGCACTAGATACGAACGAATAACAAAGCGATAATTACGATTTCTTTTACTACGAAAATACTAGTTTTTATTTTTTTTCGCCTATTTTTCACGAGTGTGTGAGAGAGGGAAAGGGGGCTGAGTGAATTTGCGTTCGAATAAAAATATCGACAGAGTGATTGGAAAAGAAAAGAGGTGGAGAGGATAGGAAAGGAATTTGAAAATGAGAGAGAAAAGAAAGGTAGAAAAATGAATCGAAACGATCATGATTGTGCGTACACGTTCCGTTTAATAACAAAAAAATTCACTTTCTTCTTTGACGAAATTATGTTATATTTTATGCAATACTTATTCCGAGGTTATGAAAACAGTTTTAAAAAGGAAAATTATGCAACAGCTCATCTCTCTCTCTCTCTCTCTCTTTTTCCCCACATCTTTTTATGAACGTTTCTTTTCCTATCTCGTCTTCCACTACGTTGACGGAGAGAAAGAAAGGGTGGTGGTGGGTGGGTGGGGTTTGGGTAGGGGGCCTTAGGAGAAAGAGGACTTTTCGAAAATGTTCTGTGATAGACGGCGAGTCAACTCGAGAGAATAAGAGTGACAGAGAAAGAGAGATAGGTAGATGGATAGATATAAAGAGAGAGAGAGAGAGAGAGAGAGAGATAGAGGGAGAGAGAAAGGGTAGTAGGAAGGGGAGCGAGCTTTAACATCCTCGTCACGTAGCTGCGAAACGTCGCGCCTCGTTTCGTTTGTGAATTACGTTCGCTTCCCTTCCGCCATTTATATCGATTTTTCTCCTTTCTCTTTTCATTTTCCACCATTGTTATTCTCTTTTCCCTGTTTTCCATTGCTGTTTCCTTTTTTCTTCTCTTTTTTCCTCTCTCTCTCTCTCTCTCTCTCTCTCTTCTCCTATTTTCTTTTTCTCTTCATTGTATTTTTATTCCACTTTATCATCCTACTTTTCCTTTCTATTTATTGTATGTACGATATTATTTTTTTCTTTTTCATATTATTTTACTTTTGTGGGTTGCGCGAATGAATTTTATACGCGATAAAAGTTACTTTCTGAGATATCGACTTCCGACAGTTTTTGTTCACCGATCGTATTTACATACCTACTCGTTTCTTTTTTTCCTTTTTCTTCCTTTCGCTGTTTTCATGGAAACGAAATTGTTTAAGGAATTTTTCTAGAATTATACTTTTTTCAAATCATAGGTTTATAAATAAAATAGAGATATTAATACAAAAATAAAATATAAAATTAACAAGAAAATTGTTACAGTTTAAGTTCTTTTTCGTACCTAAAATCGTAAATTTTGGTATTTTCTTTTTATTGGATACTTAAAATGTGTTCTTTTTTATAATGTTCTATTTTTTTTCTTATTCTCTCTTTCTCGTTCTTTTTTCCTTTTCGTTAATTTCATGGTTTACATTACATGGAGTAGATTTTTTTGTCCTCTTTAACATTACTCCAGTTTCTCGAAGAGTTCAACTATTAATGAGCTTCTTTCGACTTTTTTTATCCTCTTAATCCTCTTTCAAATCTCACTCGCGTACCAAAAGAAGGACTCTCTTGCTCTTTCTTTCTTTCTTTATTTGTGGTAACTTTACGAAAGTCCAGTGGGCAACGAAGTTAAACGTGCAAGGCGCATTGCGAGTAGTTATTTCGATCCTTACGAGTTCTTATCAGATAAGTATATCAGAGTAACGTGTAAAAAGAATTTATTCAAGTAAAAAAAACGAATAAAAGAATCTCAAATTTTGAGTGATACAAGTTTGAAATATATATAAATGTATGCTAAACATAGTTAATTTGTAGACAAAATTTAAAGAATAAATAGAAAAAAATATTATATATATACCATAAAATGTTTCAATATCACATTTACCTATGTGTATATTCATATAAATCATTTATATTCTGTCACGTAAATTTTCCAATTCGATCCATATATCTTTTTTTACAATACCATTATCTCTTTTTTATCTGATCGTTATAAATAATTTCTTTCCAACTTTAATAAAACTAAAATCCTCTCTCTCTCTCTCTCTCTCTCTTTTTCTTTCTATATGTGTTGACTATGAACAAGAGGTCTCGATAGAAAATAACTCCAACGAGAGTAGTATGCTTTTCTTATTTTCTTTCAAAGATATTCTCTCGTTCCGCCGATGTATTCGCAATCCGGATCGGATCGGATCGGTTAGATCCTTTTCGACGTGAAACGAAAAAAGAGGGAAGAAAGAAGGAAGGAACAGATGCCATGCGTATCATCCGCTTAGAGAAAAAGAAAGAAAGAAAAAACGAGAGAGAGAGAGAGAGAGAGAGAGAGAGTGAGAGAAGTAGAAAGTAGACGACCTCGAGTGTTCACATTGCAACAGATTTATTTCAATCTCTCGTACGAGAAGGAATAATTTACTAACATCCCGTATTTCACCATACTACTGGGGAATATTCTTTTCTTTTTCTTCTTAAATCTTAAACATGCTTAAAGGAATGTTCACCTGACGATAAATTTGTTAATCTTGAAAATCCTTGATGACAAAAAAAGAAAATAGAAGACCGAAAATGGAGAAAAAATAAAAAGAGTAAAGAGTAAGTGATCATAAAAAGCAATGTTCAACGATAAAACATTGAAAAACTTTTTCTCGTTTAAAAAAAAGAAAAAGAGTACCAAATATTTTCCTTATGTTAGATACCAGAACTAAAGAAAGAAAAATAAGAAGAAAAAAGATCTTGATGACATTCTTCTTACAAGATGACGGTTGGAAAATCTGCTCATAAAAAAGACGTGAGATTAGGTGAGATGAGTTGAGGTAAGGTGGAATATGCGAGTACACGAAGAACGTTGTCATTTCGTTGGCTTGCTTGGGGAGAAGGAACGCCAAGAGTGGAGCAAAGAGAGGAAAGACATCATCGGTTAACGTACCAAAGTCGTATACGAGCTGTGTCGATGGGGACCATAATCCAAGAACGGTCACGCTCGTAAACGGCAGCTTACATGCGAGGAGACTACGAATGTGCTTCCAAGAGTGGAATACAGACAAAGATAGTTACAGACAAGATAAACAGAGAGGATAAACAAGGATAAAAAAAGAGAAAGAAAGAAAATGGTAGAGAGACATAGAGATATATGTAAATAAAGAGAGAGAGAGAGAGAGAGAGAGAGAGAGAGAGAGAGAGAGAGAGAGAGAGTGAAAGAATGATTGAAACAGAGAAAGATAGGAGAATAGAAAGAGAGAAGGAATAAGAGAGAGAGTAACGTATTTTTCGTACTTGTAAACTCAAAGCCCTCAACTTTGAGCTTTAAGTGAGTTATAAAAGTCTCGGTGATGACGCGTACTTACACAAAAAAAGAGAGAGAGAGGGGATTATATAAAATTGAACAGTTTGACTTTAGCACTATATTAGATATATTCAATCTTTTTTTATCTCGCTAGTTTTGATTTTATCATCGAATATCAAAAAACAGTATCACCCTATTGCTAGAATAATATTGATAATAAAATAATATCGATCACATGATCGAACGTTAGACACATATATTTATACGAAATGGTATATGATCGTATAAAATGTTTCATAAGATTGATCGTACTTTTTTATTTTTTAATGGGGGCTTTTTTATAATATTTTACATTCTTGTAAATGCATTTTCAGAGAGTATTAGTTTGATATTATTATTTATTAGGTTTCATTGATATTGAAAGAGTATCGTTGTCAAGCCATAGATATGAGTCCTATAGAATGTCAATTCTATTCGACTTGATTCGATCGATCGATCGACCGTAAGTTTGCGATATATATCTCGTATATTATATATTTATATATATATATATATAATATATGGATACAAATGTATGTATTCATGTTTATGTGAGAGAGTGACAAGAGATGATGAATGAGATGATGTCAGTGAAAATCATTTATCGTTAAATTTATACAGGATGTTTCAAAAAATATCAGCATAACTTCCAGAATGCTTTCTCTACGCTTAAAATATGAAAAGAAAATTCACAAAATCTCACACTCGATATAACCTTGATTAACGAATCATATCCATTATTTATTACACGCATAATTTTGCATAATTTTCATAGAAACTGTTCAGATTTGTCACCCTCGGATTATCGTAGATCTTTTCCCTTTTCCAAAAATACTGGGTGTCGTTTGAATTTACCGATAACGTGGGGTAATAAGCTAGTTGAATCAAACAGTCGAAATTATTGAAAGACAAAAATGACTATACTTCGAAAACGGGGTCATATCAGCGAGCGCGTATCATTTCATAAATTTATTTTTTTTATTTTAGCGTAGCAAAGCCACCCTTTTTGAAGTTATGTTCATATATTTTGTAACATCTTGTGTAATTTTCTAACAAGATAGGAAATCTACAACAGGTGTAATTGACAAATCGATGATTAACACGAAATACATTTAGATAAATAGATGATAGAAAAAAGTGCCGTTACACATATGAATATAACCTGATACGCGAAAATTTTGTTGAATGAGGATGAATTAGATTTATGTTAAATATTATATTAACTTCGAGTATGCGTCTCTATCATTATTATTATTAATTATTATTATATATATACTTTTTTTTAGGTTATTTATTCGTATATCTTGTATATTTGCATAAATAAAAATAGAAATATAATATACTCACGAGATGAGAATCTCTGGTAGTGAAGGTGATCGGATCCGAGGCTCTTGGCTCGCGACAGTGAAAATCCATTTTGCCCCAAGCTGCGGCACCCGCTGCACCACTTCTAGCAGCTTCTATTAACTCCATTTTTATGCCTTCCGCGCTGAATTCCACCTTTAAGACGGAAATTATTTTTTATTCTTTTATATTTTTTCAGTTTTTTTTTTTTACGAAATCATTATTCACTTATAAAAAAATGACAAAAATTACAAACAACAGTGATTTAATTTCCACGTTGGAAATAAATAGTTTATACTAAATTAGACAAAGATCCTTGAAGGAGTTTTAATAAATCTGACCAATTAATGATCCATCAAGAGTTACAAGAAAGGAAGTCGTTTGTTAGCTAAGAAAAAAGGGAGAATTATTTTCTCAACGTGAGCTTTTGTACCGTATCCCCCCCACCACCCCCCACCCCTGGTAAAATCGTCCCAACGTATTATTTTTCGAACGAGCCAGACGATAAGGAAACGAATTTAATCGGGTTGTGCTTGCTTACTTGCTGGAAAGTACGGTAGGGAGAAGGGGGAAGGGAAAAGGGGGAAAGTGATAAATCGACCATCCAATTATTTTCGGATAACGTCGCACAGTGAAAGAGTGGAAGAGAGAGAAAGGGAAAAGGCGATCGCAAAACGAGACGACAAGGACTGATAGTCTAGAAAGTTGGCAAAAGGTGCTCAAGAAGAAGAGAAAATAAGAAGAGAAGGTGAAGAAGAAGGTGGTGAAGGAGGTACGAGGGGATGCAGGATAACATAGAAGACGATTTATCTGCGTTGCATAAATCTTGTTGCGTTTATTGCTACGACAGTGTATAATGTTACGAAACTGGTGATGGTACTCTCGTTTCAACAGCAGTTATCCTATTCTCCGATATCATCTCTCTGTCTCTCTTTCTCTCCCTAACTATTTATCTCGCTTGAAAGTTGTTATCGAGTGTAACGATCGCTTGTACTTGCTTTTATCGTAAAAATCAGTTTGCTAAGGGATAATTTGAAAGCACCTAAGAAGTTTGTATTTATATATGTATGTGTTTATCAATGTATACCTATTAAATGTCGATGAACATCGTTGTCGACGTTTCCATTTCCTCCGAATATCTGATCGTTCAAATCTACATTTCCAATATTTGATCGGCTTATTTGATCGATGTTAATGTCACATTTTTTACCTCTATCTCATAAATGACAAGTTGTAAATTTATTAAAATATCGAAAATATTTATTCATCAAATTACGATTATAAAAGAAAAATGTTCTTAGTCTTTCTTGTAAACAAACATAATTATTTTTAAAAGTTTAAGAATTAAGTTACTATATTTTCCATGAAGTAAAATAAAAAAACAAATTAACATAAAATATATTGAAAATAATATGCAATTTTTGGTCCTCAAAATACACTGCAATTAATAATTTAGAATGATAAACAACATACAGATGAACGAATAATAATATTCCACAAAAGAAGAATCATCTCTCCCCACCGAAAAAAGTGAGAAAAGATAGGAGGATCGAATTTCTCTAGAGAATTGCTTTTTGATACGGAGCGAAAGTAACACACCGAGTTGGCTTGAATAGAATGAAATGAAAACGGTAGATATCTACATACCTAGGTACCTAGGTAGATAGGTAGGTAGATAGGTAGGTATAGGTATGTACTTACTAGGTACGACGTAGGTATGTTTTGAACGGTTTGAAAACGAAACGGGCGTGCGTAGATATAGTTGAAGAACGCTTTTCCTGCTTCAGTTAGTCGCACCCCCTACTCTCATGCCTCACCCCTTTATTCCCTAAACCTTCACCCTCTCACTCTCGCAAACCCACCCTCCAGCCTGTAGCCTTCGCACTTTCCTATTTTCCGCGTCTCCAACGCCAATATCCAATATCTGTAAACAATGCTCGGCATTTATTCGATCGTTTTGTCTTCTCTGAACGATTCGTAACTCGTTTCCCCCGTTTCTCTTTGACGTCGAGATTAAAAAATACAAAAAAATAAATAAAAAAATGTTAGAAGATAAAATAAAAATTAAGAAGAAAAGAAAAAAGAATTACGAAAATAAATGAAATATTGTCGATGAAAAATGGCGCCATTCGTGAGTTCTTTTCCCATTAAATCTTTCTTTCTTTCTCTCTCTCTCTCTCTTTCTCTATTTTGCTTTATTTTCTTTTCTCGTTGTAGCTTTGAACACACGAAGGACGTTCAAAATGAAAGGAAAAAAAAGTGTTCGAGCCCTCTTTGCAGCGTCACCCACACGCGATACTTTTAAATCACCCAGATGAAACGCCCTACAAATTACAAGCAGCACCCGGGCTGCTCATGCTGTACAAACCTCGTCGTAACTCGTTCGCAAGACAAGTTTATTACTTCTCCTCATTCGAGATTTCCCTTATCGTACTTTTCTTCCCCTTTTTTCTTTTTCTATCTTTGACTTTGTTTCTTACGACGAAAGATGTTTCTGAGGATTTTTCTTATATTTCGATATCGAACAGAGAAAAGTGGATGGTGAAAAAGATACGGAAAAGAAAAAAAGAGTAGAGAATAGAGAGAAAATAGTCGAGAAAAGGGTCGAGTTTTACTCTCCTAACATTTTTCACAAAAGTTCGCTAGTAAGTCGGGCACATGAATATTTCATTTTATCACAATGACCGCTGCCGAGCTTTCTTGACGCTTCTATATTTTTAATCCCTTAAACTTAAGTTTATTTTTGTACGAAACCTACCTTCCATCCTTCCATCCTCTGTTATTGACTACATACTTCAAATCGATAGATTTATTGAAACTCAATTTTTTATCTTTTATGCCATATCCTATTTTTGTATTTATCCGAAAGAAACATTTGATATTTTCATCATTTTTATATTTATTTTGATGTAGAAATATATTCGAATAAAAAACTATTAGTTTTCTTATTAGATAAAGAACGATTTCGTCGAAGATATTTTCTGAAAATTATTTTTATATTAATTTTTTTTTACTTCAAACGGTGAATAATAAACGTTCTTAAATTCTTATTTATCATATTTATTATACACTTATTGTTAGTAATATTACTCGCAAATATTTGTGCATTAGTTTAATATAAAATCATTGTAAATTTGGATTCGTGTCTTTTTCTTCTATTTTTAATATTTTTTGTTGACAACGAAAAGTAATTTTAAGGGATTTATTTTGTAAAACCGTATGCAAATAAGAAAAAAAAGTCGGATAAAAGTGTGACAAGAGATTAGTTCGATGAAAACACTCATGAAACATTGATGATAACAGAGTATAAATCTTCTTTATATTTTGTGTATTGCCCGTTTATCTCTCTTTTTCTCTCTCTCTCTCACTCTCTCTCTCTCTGTCTTTCTCTTCCTCTTTTTCTATTCATGAATTACGATGAAAGCATTTACAATGACAAAATGAAGGGAAAACGATAATTGCTTAACAAAGGACGCCTCCGTTCGTTGCATTCGTTGCGGTGTGTGAACGTAAAGTCAATTCGTTTGATCGACAAATATTTAACGTTAGAATAATCGTGTTGAATTACAAATCCCCGTTAACGTTCGCCCGACAATTTGATCCGACCAGCTACACGACATTTTTTATTTTTTTCTCTAGTGAAAAGAATTTCATCTGTGTGCAACTTATCGCGCTGTATAATAAAGTATCTATTCAGTTTCTAATTGAAATTCAGTTCTAATTTTTACGAAGCTTCAAATTTAGTAACTCCACCCCGTACAGAATCGAGATTCATACTTCGGGAAGCCCTGGGTCACATAAGAGGGCATAGATTCTAATTAATTTATAATTGTAATATATACAATAATAAATGCATATATAATTTATCAATAGTATCCGTAAAATATATATATATATAATATACAAATAATATATTTCAATTATATAAAATTATTGATTAATAATTAAATATACGCCAAAATAAACATATCTGTATAAAAGTGAAAATAGTTTTTTATAATAATCGGTAATATGCTATAATAAATATAAATATAATTTTAGAAAATGATACAAAAGTATATACTGCACGTAATGGAAATCATTTTTCTTCTCTATGCGAAATTGATTTAACATATTATATTATATATATTGATAAATTCGATTTGTGGGCAAACTGTCACATTGGAACACGATCGACATATTACATTCATCTTGTTCCCACTAATATTCGATTAATTATTTTACCGTATTGAATTACGTCAAAATCGACGTTGTAAATTTGATAGAAAAGCCCGACAGCAGTACGCGAGATTGTCCCGTTTCCGATAAAATCAGCCCCTCTGCGTTTATTTGCGATCATTTTTTTGTCCTCGTATAATAATCGAATACTATGAAAACCTTTGCACGATATATTATTCATTTTACTATCGAATATAACTGTGACGTCCCGCTACTTTTCATATCATATTTTTCTGCCTTAAAGACACTGACGCGCCTACCGCCTGACCTTTTATTAATTATTCTACTCTCCTGATCAATAGCTGGAATAAAAGACAAGCGAAACTCAATTTACTAGTTAAGTCAATTATAATAGAGACACAACTCAGTGGTTAAACAAAAGACAAGCGAGATTTATTCCAGTAGTTGTTATAATTTGAAATTAATAATTAAGAATAAAAATGAATCTACTGCAATAGAATTCTAACTATTTCCTACCGTAAATATCCTCCTACCCCTGCAGTTGTCACACATGCAAATCTCATCACTCGTCAAAACACTCACAATTCTTTAAGATCATTCCATGGTAAAGGTTTCACAGTTTGATCAAAAACTGACCACCCTCTTTATTACGCCACAAGATGTAACATTATTAAATAAATAATTAAATCTAATTTATTAACTTAGGCCAATATTAAGAAAATAAATGGTTTTCTAAATCGATATATAATTTTTGTTTATTATTGCATTCGTAAACTTTGTCTAAAACCATTTCGAATACGTTATCGAATCGAAGGCACAATCTCTTGACGATAAAGTTTCGAAATATCAACTCCATCGTCATACTTGTCGTCGTCGTCATCGAATTCTAGAGGAAACTCACCTTTCTTAGACACCCGACAAAGTTGTTGATCCCTTTGGCACCTTGCAAAGATCTCGCATCAGCACCACCACCGACTAGAAGTCCATCGCTCGCTAAACGTGTGAACGATCCTGCAGTGTGTCCGTGTTCCATGTAAATTCCATCGACGACGGCCGAAAGCTGAAACAAATCGTTTAATAATTAATCACAGTATAATTCATTAATAATAGCGGGGGAGGGGGGGGATAAATTTGTTGTTTAAACGAAAATAAACGATTTCTCTCCGACGATTCGTGTTTTTCTTTTTTTATTTCTAACGGAAAAAGAAAAAAAATTAGTTATAAAATAAAATATAAGTTATAAAATGAAATAAAATGAAATTGAAAGAAGAAAAAAAAGTGTCGAAACGATCGAAATAATGAATGCAACGCTAAGAAACAAGAGTAGCTCTTTTAAACTTGCTCGTTTAAAAGTTCGATAAGCCGAGAAAGGTAGCACAAAAAAGTGTAAGAAAATGGCGAGTACTTTTTCTTCTAACTCGTCTATGGTAAAGAGAGAAAGAATCCTCTCGGTATCGGTGTTCCTCTTGCGAAGAAGCAAGACATCATATTTCCTTAAGTCCGATTTCCATGGCATCGAAATCCTCCGAGCGTCGTTCTCAAGAAGAAAACGCTCTCTCTCTTTCTTTCTGAAGCGTTACTGCACTTTTCCAACGTTAAAGTTTTAACAACGGAAGCAAAGTTTCGCAGTTGGAATTTTGGACGAATGTAAAGTGTATTTTTATGCTTCGAGTAAAGGAGTTACTCCGAAGGACTCTATTCTATGATGATGATGATGATGATGATGATAATAATAACAAACATAATAAAGAATAAAAAGAAGAACATTGAATTACATTTATCATTGGAATAAAACTAATTGTAAATGGTGGAAGAGAAGGGGCTGGTACCTTCTCATAACATTACCTACGTTAAGTCAAATTAATGACGTTTGTGGTAAAGTACTTTGTAGATATATCTGTGTATCTTCCTATCTGGTGTGTGCAAAACCTAGTCTCGAAGTTTTTAATTAAGCCAATTAATCTAAACTCGAAGGAGTTGGAAGGTTTCAGTCCTTTTTCGAGAAACGCTTGTCCCCCTGAGACGAGAAGCGAAGATGAGAAGAACTCGTTACTATACTTGTTGGCTTATTTCCCTCGGAGAATATAATATCGAATTTACCGAAAGCGGAAAATTTTCGGAAAGTCGAGCACTTTCTTCTACATGTCTCGATAAGAAGAAAGAAGATAGTAGTTTTCGTCTTACACGAAGACAAGCGAGAAACTTCTCACAACCTGCAAAACCTTCTCCTCGAACTGTTACTCTACCTCTCTGTCTCTCTCTCTTCCTTACTCTTTTCTTCTTTTTTTTCTCAGTCTTTTCGTCTGCCTATACCAGTGGGTGTACGAGTAGTACTTAGCTACTGGTAAAGTTCGCTAACATTTTCTAGTACCGAGGAGGCTAAAGACCATTCCATTACGACTTTTCTCCTGTTTGCCGTCGATCGTCGTTATCTCTTTCGACGCTTCCACTCTCTTCTCTTCGCCAAAGCTTTCTCGAAGCAACCCTAATCGAGCAACTTTCCTCAAAGAGGGATACATCCTTGGATATATCTATATATAGTGTAGCAAACCTGTGTACGAGTACTCGAGTTTTGGCTACTTCACAATTGGGATGACTCGAGTTGCCACAGCCCAAAACTTTCTCGACGCAAACATATTCGCATTACTGTTATTTTGGAATTTGATTTGCGACTCGGGACTTCATTCGTTATATCCAAGAGTATTAATTCTTCATTCAGGATTCGACAATTCATTCGGAACGTCATTTTTTCCGTCTGCTATCGTGTTCATCAATTTTTCAATTATTATTTAGAAATCTAATCAAACGTCTCCATTTTTATACAACGAATTTCAAATCGCTAATATTTCATTAAAGATCCAACACTCGATTCGGAAAATAATCATTCCATCCGATCTTATATTTTAATTTTTAAAGTTTGATTTTGAGGTGTAATCAAGTGTCAGAATTTTTATGCAAGTAATTTTGAGTCGAAAATTGGATTCTGAAAAATGTATATCCAAACATGTTTATGCATCAACAAACTTGAGCGTAAACAAAATGTTGGATCCTAAATTTCATGATAGCATTTTTAAAGTTTCATTTTGCAATGCAATCAAATGACAGAATTTGTATGTATAAGTAATTGCGAATAAAAAAACTGTGCCCTGAAACTATGGTTCTAAATCTTAACCCTAAACAAATTGTTGACCTGACTCGAATCTTAAATTTCGTGGTAGCATCTATCCATGACTATTTTTTTCTATTTCGTTCCTTTCCTCATTAATTTCTTCTTTCTCTCATTCCTCTAGTTCGTTTTTAGCTTTCATAATTTCCGAGACCTTATCTCGTAGATTTGAAAAGCAAAAACTAATAGATATACCGAAGCGAGTTCTCCCACGTTGAGATAAATTCAAGATAGTCTTGAATCTTTCGTTGAAACTTTCCAACTGAGAAATTCAGAATCGTTTACGTTAACATCGACTAGACAAAGAACACATAACCGAGATATCTATATATATTATACTATATTATATATAATATAATATCATACTTAGCTACTTACTTTGGTTTCTTCGTTAATTCAACCTTTTATCATTTTGATTGTTATCAAACGAGAAGGAAACTATGTACCGGAGTGTCTATAGCTACTTTTATCTTAACTACCGAAAGGTAGTCGTGTTTGCACGCTCGTCGAGAACAGCTACAGTTCGTTTTCACTTCATAACTCTCGAAGATCTATCTTTCGAGACGGTTTCATTGTGAGAATGAAGGATAGATAAATAAAGTAAGTGAAAGAGAAAGAGAAGGGTGGTAGTAAAAGTAAGATTGGTGATGGAGGTGAAGGGTGAGGAGTGGATGAGAAGAAAGTCGCAATGTAACCAGCGAAACTTACAATGGTAAAATTAAAGGTCTACTTCGTCATTGAGAGGAAAACTCTCTTTCTCTCTCTCTCTCTCTCTCTCACTTTCTAAGAGTTTAGTCAACGAACTGAGAGGTAAATGACCGTGTTTGTGCTTCTAGAAGATTTCCTCGGCTCGATAAGCAGTTCGCATTAACTCGTACCTTCCTATTCTTTCTTTCTTCTTCTAAACTACTTCCGAGGTCAATTAAAGAAAGTTCGTAGAAGGTTTCTTTATACTATAAAAAATCATTTTCAACGTTAAGGATCATTCTGTCTGGAATATGTAAAGAGCTAAATCTTAGAATTAGACAGTCTACTTTTGTATCTTTCTAATTATTGCTATGTAATGTTTTTTTTCGTATAAATTTATTATTATTATTATTATTATTGATGTTATTTGCCTACGTTACTTTAATTTTGGATTTATTCTATTTATTTTTTACTTTATTCTATCGTGTTTCAATTACAATAATCCTTTTTCTTATTCTCCGTGTTAGAAATACTTTTATATGTGAGATGTTTTTTATGCTTATTATATTTATTATAATTATTATAATTATTTTTGTATTTGTTGTTATTGTTTGGTTACTTTATCTTATCTCTTCTATTGTTCCGATTAAATATATATATATATATATATATTATAGTCGTATATAGAAAGAGGGTAGCATACTGTGGCAATAAATATGATTTCTTTTTCTTTTTCTTTTTTTCTTTCTTTTACTTGTTTTCTCTCTTGTCTTTCTAAAGAACACTCCTCTTCTTTTCTTTTCTTCTATTTTCTTCCCTTTTGAGAGCATCGTTATTTCCATCCTGTCCTTCCATCCTTGAAATTTGGAGAACACTCGAGGAAAGCACAAGCGTGAAAGAGAAAGAGTAAGAGGGAGGGAGGGAGAGAGAGAAGAAAAAGACAAGAAAAATAAAAAGAGAAGAAAAAAGAGAGACGATAGGAATAAGAAAAAAAAAAGAGACAAGGATAAAGAGAAAAAGACCTTCGAAAAATCTATGAACTTGATAATACGAATCGTCCGACATTTTTTTCATTACGCTCCTTTCGATAAAACTTAATTGGATCATTTCCGTGTATCTTTCATACTTAAATTATATTTTTTTGTTAATTTTAAATAGATTGTGCTATAAATCTTCTATGACAGTTTGTAAGTTATTTTCGGAAGAGTTTTCAACCCTTATAAACTAAAGGTCATTTTTTTAGTGATCTCCTTCTAGTTTTTTTCTATTCTTATATCTTGAAAAGGTAAGAATGAAAAGGGACGAAATTTTTTTGTGCAAGATACTCAAGTACCTCAAAAGGATAGTCAAGATTTTTAACGAGTGAATCGAACCCAATCCATACTCTTAACATCCTTGAACCAATTCTTTTCATCTCTCTTTTTTTTTCTCTTTTTTACTTGACTAATTTTATTTTTCAAGGCACATTGATGGTAATCATTCTTTTCTTTTTTAAAATTACGCGAAAACGATTCGTTCTAACTATCAGTTTCTTTTTTCGATATTTTTTTCACGATCTCCAAGTCGTAGAAAAGATGAATTGATATCTCGAAATTATTCTTACGTCGATTGGCACATAGGTACAGGGTGGTTCAAATAAAATATTTATAATTGCTATGTATTTTATGTAAAATACTTACATAAAATATAAAAATAAAATGAAAAAATTGACAAGCATCTAAATAATATATCATTTAAATTTGTGTAAAAGAAATGAATATTTAATTTAGTATAAAATGAATTCGTCTTTTATAGATATAGATAAGACGAATATAAATATCGGAGAGGCATCGAGAAAAGCGATTTTTAAAAAGAAGGAACCTCTTTGGAATACGTCTACTTACCCTGCAGAAGCTGGTGATGGAGGAGATCTGAAACAGAAAGCGAAAAAGGATCAATCGAGTGTTCGTGGGAAGAATTTTATTTCTACCTTTGGTATTTTATTTTTACAGGAAGAAAAGTCTTAACACGCGATCAAAGAGACTGTCTGATAACAAAATGATACTCGTAATACGAACTCAAAGAATTTTTATTCGTCAAATTTGCATTTTTTTCTTTATCGTTATTATTTTTTATTTCATGATTTTTCTTCCTCCGAATATCTAAAATTATTACGTCATGATTAGATTTCAACTTACGGTTAGAAAAGGTAAGCAAAAGGGAGAAGCAATTAAGAGGGACTTTATTTACCTACTACTCACGCACCCAAGGTCGTTCTTATTCTCTTTATATTCAACTAATTAATCACGGAGGAATCCAGCCCCGTAAGAATTCATTGAGCATAAAAACTCATTAGTTCCTTTTGAAATTTGAGTACAATCGTTCACGTCACTTTACCGAGGGAAATACAATGATAGCAATCTAGAAATGAAATGAGGGTTACTTGTTAAATTGATGATTTAATTATCTCGTGTTATGTTTTAATGATAGTAATTAATGTGGTTATTGAAACATCAAATGTATACATTTATGTGTAGCGTCAGGGATGTCTGTTTATACATGTCAAAGTAAATATATGATTTCGAATTAATAAGAAGATATTAATACAAGAAATTGTGTGTATCAAATTTAATTAACAAAATATTAACAAAATAACGTAGTTTAACCTTGAACATTTTTCGGATGTACCAAAAAAGCTCAAGTATTTGAAATGTTAAATTTTGATTGATGTATAAACAAGTAAACAACGTTGATGCACTAGTAATTGGGTTAATTTTAGACATTATAAAATTTCATTTGAAATGTTCGTATAAAGTGTAAATTTTGAGGTTTAAAAAGTTTCGTTTTGCAAGGGTTCGATAGATTTTTAATAGGAGAATAGAGAGAAGGGAGTTAGAGAGCATCTACTCGGACAAGGATGATGTCAATAACACAGGAGGTTAGTTGGATGTTCTCGTTGTATGCCTACGATCTACTATCTACCTAATAGGAGTCTGAGCTTAGTACGAAGGCCGATGGACTTGCATAAGCATGAGTTTATTAACGACATCGAGTCAATGAACTTTGCTCCTCGAATAATTCTGTCAATACGCTGGCTACCGAAACGAACGACGTAGAAATTATTACTTGGCCATGTGTGGGTCTATTAATACGTTTAATGCCTTAGGTGAATCGAACTGAACTAAATTATCAATCTATCTGTCCAATTCTAAGTTCGAATAAACGCCTTAGGAAATCAATGAGGGTCAATTACCAATTTATATATCCATTACTTCCAACAGAATACAATAAGAATTCGTTTCCATTCCTGATTTATAAATTATTATTCGTGAAATATTTCATGTAAAATTGGAATAGAAATCAAATTTGATTTAGGAGATGAATCAATAAGAATAATTATCTAAAATAATACAATTTGGAGATATCAAGGTGATCACGAGTTTTTCTCTTTAATAGAAAGATGAATCAAAAAATTCCACCTACTCCTTCAACTGTTTTATCTTGCATACTTATGCACACATAGCATATCGATGCGATGCTAACAATATTTAATTCAAATTTATTGATATTTAAAATAATCTCGGTGTTCGCTGACACGATTAACGAAAAAAGTAAAAAAAAAAGCGAAAGTAAATTCTCAAGAGCATATCTCTTCTAAAGTTTTCTTGCTTCAATGTTGAGAAACGCAAAGAAATGTGTTTATGTTTGGTGTAGGAAAAGTAAGAAGAGTCCTCGCATGTTACTGACTCGTTGTAAAATGTATGCGCGTGCTCTTCCTCTTTGCCTTACATGCTTCTTTTTCTTTTTTTTTTCTTTTTCTTTTTCTTCTTCTTCTTCCTACTCCTCTCTCTTCACCCCTCTTACGCTTTTTTATTTACGCTATGAAAAGCTCACCGACCGGAAGCAACGGCTCAGTGTCGCATAGGAGAAAAGTATACATTACGTACATTGTACAATACTCTCTTGGAAGGATATATGTTTCTAAGAGTCTTGTATACACTGAGTGTACCATGATTGATGTTAACAAAATTTCTAAAAATGACAGACTCCTCAAGATAAAAAAAATAGTCCGTTTAAAAAATCTGTTATAAGATTTCTTCTGTGTTTGTCGATTTGATAAAAATTCAATGATCAACGTTTATTGTCTTTAGATAAAAAGAAAACTGGTGCGCATTATAAATAAAGTCTCAAGAAAAGTAGGAATGTTTAACTAACGACTTGCTTCTTAGAAATCAAACTTTAGTCTAACAATAAGACTGTTTATAGGACACCCCGTATATCGATGGGAATCTAGATTTAGAACTGTGACTATAAATTAAGATTTCGGTTGGTCGTCGACGTTCGGTTAAGGGTCGCTTAGGCTTTTCTATGCATCGATAGGAACTTGTCGACTTTACGCCAACGGACAGTACTCTCGTTCCCGTTCTCGTTCCCGCACCCGTTCCCGCACCCGTTCCCTTCTCAACTACCCACCTTACCTCCTTCTTAAACTCACGACATCGTTTGCCTCATAGAAACTCGCGAATACCAGGAATTCACTATCGAACTGTGCCATCTCGTGCGTCCGTTCCTCGTAAAACTTTCTCGTCAAGATCGACCTTTGAAAAATTCCTTTAACCTTCTACTTCAACTTTACTACCTCAACCCACTGCATCTCCCAACCCTACGTAGTCCGATCAAGATCCTCCCTACTTTAAACTCATCTTTTTCCAATAATCATTTCTCATGACCTAAGTATTATTTATTATTTGATTATTATTAAAATGGTTTAATTCTGCAAGGAAAAATGATTTATTACTTAGAGAAAAATGTTTTATAATTACAAAATATTATGAATTATATTTGATATCACACATTGAATGAAAAAATAAGAAGAAATTTGAGAGTCACAGTTATGAAAATTCGATCAAACTGGAAATTATTATTTATTATTATCGCATTTCTAAGAAGATCGCGTTTGGAGTTAGATCCGATAGAAAATTCGGCCTTCAAACGGAAATCCTGGGCAACGTGAGTAGAGTAAACGTTCAAAGGAGAACCAAATTTGCATGTTTCGCGGAAGTGCCGACTGCTTACATCAGACCCTCGTACTCGACTCAGCCCAACCACCCCAGCCACCTACTCGAGACGCATTGCTGTAATTTAATGCGGCGCACTTGGTGGTAACCTTCGTTGACGAACGCTGAGTTAACGTCAAAGTTCTCTTATGCAGAATCATGAGATTCTCTCGCTCCCTATTTCTCTTCCTTTCTCTTTCTTTCTCTTTCTTCATTTCCTACCATTATTTTTTCTTTTATTCAATTATTTTGAAAATAAAGACAAATTTCAGTTGTCATTTTCTTATAAACTTATTTTATAGAAAATATTCGAGAATATTTTTACATACAGGGTGAGCTACAATTAAAATTACTAGAGTTAAATATTTATTTGTGATTTGCAAAAATGTATTAATAAATTATATTTAATGAAATTATATATTTAAGGACTCATTAAATGAGCGTCATTAAATTTTATATATTTTGGGATATCAAGGTGATCCTAAATCTCAAAATCAATGCATTTATTTTAATACTAAGTTGTTGCCAATTAAAAAAACTAATCAAAAACTAATTTAAATTAAATTCTTATAATTTTCTTGTTAATTAAGTTTTAAAATCGAAAGGTAATGAGTTATTTTAGATGATAATTTTTATTGATTCATTCTGTATATAGAAATGTTATAAATAAAAAATGTATTACGAGATAATTTATAGCCATATTTTTATAAACCTCATTTCAATCTCATTAGGAAGTTTAATTGAAGTCTTCAAAAAATCATTCAAACGAAATTTCACAAAATTGATGACCTATTAATATTCAACGGTTTTAATCGATATCTCTTTCGATGACAGAGCATGAAACTTTATAATATTCGTGTTTTTAGCTATGTTCTACGGATTGAATTCATCGTTGAAATAGTTTCACAGATCGTACGAGGAGCTTTTACCAATTACAGGTAAAATTACTATGAGCGTAATCAAGCAGTTATTCGGGTCATTATAATGAAAAGTCAGTTCTAATGATCGTGTTATTAGGTAGTCAATTATAAATGCCTATAAATTATCGAATTATTAATAACTTCATTTTTAAGAAGCAATTCTATTCTATTTTACTTTATCAAATTATATATCTTTAAATAATTATATAAATATAGTTATATTTAATTCCTTTTCTCTTTACTTAACTTTTCAAGAAAAAAGCTTTTTTATTAAATAATAAATAATAATAAAAAAACCTCTTACATATATTATATATAGTTTCTTATAAGAGCCATTTTTTGTGTGTTCCTCTCTTCTTTCCGTATTATTTAGAATTTAAAGATATATGCAACGGCGTAGAATAAAGGTAAAGAAAAAAGAAAAAAGAAAAGAACAAGTTCTCTCGACGTATACTCTTGTGCACGCAATTTTGATTAAAACGCGAGATCGAGTAACACAAAGTCGACTACGTAACGTTTCTTTTTTCTATGCACTTACCGTCAGGTATATATTATAAACTTATATATGTGTATATGTGCACAAAAAGAGAGAGAGAGAGAGAGAAAGAGAGAGAGAGAGAGAGAGAGAGAGAGAGAGATACACCTACGTATTCATTCTCCTGAGAATGTATTGCCGCGGGTAATACGAAAAATACATCGAAGAAAAATTGAGAGTAAGACTCCAAAGTGGAGAAAAATCTTCAGTCAAGAGAAACTCCTTAGAGTCTTTTCTCGAATCAAAGTTCTTCTATCTATAAGAAAAGAATTCGAGAAGATTTTTCTCTTCGAAAGTGATGGAGAAAAGAGAGAGAAAGAGAGAGAAAGAGAGAGAAAGAGAGAGTTTGGCCATATGCCTCGAGGACTTTTACTCTCTCTCGGATAAATGCCTGGGTTTGTAGCAGTTAGACGATCGGAAATGATAAGAATGATCGAATTTATACACTTTGACTTTATACGATTGATCCTTTGTGAAAATCTTTACATGATGCTTCTTCTTCTTCTTCTTCTTTGTTTTCTTTTTTGTCTTCATCTTATTCTTATTCTTACTATCTGAATTTCATTCGATAGGAATAACGGATTGAAAAATATTGTCAAACTTTATACGTGAAAAATGAGAAAGAAAATGTAACAATTATTCGTTCAGTTTTGCAGACAGGAATTTTGAATTAATTTACAAACACCTAATTGCATTCAGAGTTTTATTTTAATTCTTTGAACTCATATATCACTTCTGAAGCAACAGAAATAATTATTTGATGTTGTGGAATATTTTTAGTCAGTTATAACTTTATTTAACAAAAAATATTATATGAAATATATAAATTATATAATATCTATAATAATAACTAAATAATATATAAACAAAAAAATAAAATATTTTACTCTTGCATGTAATATGAACACTAAAAAACAAATATCAATTTACGAGCAACAACGTAGGATAACAATCAAATTCAAAGAGTTAATTATTCATTCATTTCATATATTTAAACATGCATAAAAAAATAAAATTGAAAATGAAAGAGATAGATTATATTTACATAAGATTTTTCTTGAAACTGATAGCATATCTCTCTTTTATTTTCCAACATTATTTGTTATAATCGTTCGCATTCGCGATATTATTCCGATCCAATCTGATCTGATCTCATAGTCCTGTCACATTCAGTCATCAATCATAAAACATGTCTCGAAAGTAGAACAACGATCATCCATTCCTCTCTCGCAGTACCCTAGGGGCGAAATATCGAAAGATCATCATTGACGTTTAAAGTTCTAAGTAAACTTGTAATACCTATCCGTTATATATATATATATATAAAATGTCAAAGTGGATCAAACGAGAAGGTGAAATACTTGGATCAAAGATACAAGTTGATTTAGAATCGAATGAATCGAGACCATATACTCGAGTTCAGTTAGGGCCATTACCTTTCCTTAAGATTTCCAAGATTCGACTGGTCGAAAGCTTGACGAGGAAATAACTTGGCTGCTACCTAAACTCGAGTTAGATTTCTCTCCTCGACCTCAATCGTGTTTTCGAGTATCTTGTGGTTACATTCCTTTCGAATATCGTCCTGCAATGGACCACATTTCAAGCTGAAAATCCTCTTCCGAGAAAGTGTTCATCGTTGACAAAGAAAACTGAGGATTTGAAATAATAGTAATGGTGAGAAAAGTGGGAAGTTTCGAAAGATCAAATTCTCGAAAATTCTTACACTTCTTCTATCACTTGATTTTATTGTATCGAAATTTTTGACGATAATGAATTGTTAGCTACGTTACTAATTTAGGAAAAGCAAGTTAACTATAGCGAAAAGCATAGTGAAATAGGAGAGATCGAAGACGCATACGAGATGGTTGTAAACTAGTTACCATGAGGAAGGAAGAAGTGAACTTGTCTACGTCCTCGTCTACGTACGAACCGATCAAACAGATTGAAACTGTCAAACTTTCGACAGAGGGCTTGAACTTTGCTACACCATACCTTCCGGCCGTACTGATCTGTCCGAAACACTGTTTGCGGTATAATGAAAGTATTTTCTTCTTTTTTTTTTATATCTTTTTGTTTTTCTTCATCAACTTTCCGATCGATTACTGTATTTGCATACACGAAAGTTTGCATATTAATGTTCAAGTTTAAATATTAAAATATCGTAACGTTTTATTTTCAACAGATTATTGTACACAGAATGTTGTTTATATTAAATTAATTTTATTGGTCCATACACATGTGGTTCAATTCATACATGTATATATTCTTATATTTCTCTATCTACACGTAAAATACTTTTTTTAAAAGTTAGCGATTCCCTTTTGAAACCGTACGTCATGTAGATAAAAAATTTAATAGACGAAGTAGAAACTTTAAAGTGCACGAAAATGCAGGCCATAATTTATTGATAACGTAGGAATCTGAGGTTCGATAAATTTTTATTTTCGGACTGTATCCTCTTTTATTTATTTCTGCACATAAAAGAAATTTTACAAAAATATTTAGACATACCTGATAATCAATCTTTTTTATTAACACATTTATTATCAATTTAATCAAATTTATATATATATATATCTATTATCGACAAAAAGAATTTTAATTAAAAATAACTGAAAACAATTATTCATTAAAAGTCACTACAATTAATATAAAAATTATATAATGGAAAATTAAGTTCTGAACTATTGTCAAATAATATAAAGTTGTTTTACTTAGCACGTAAATGTATAAAATGCATAACACAATATTATATAAAAGTAAAATAAAAATATCGATGAATGAGAGAAAGATAAAGGAATAAAATGGCGTATTTTCTGTACGAGAGATCACATACGAAAGTAGAAATTATTTTCATTTAGGGGTATTAGGTATAATCATGAAATTAACCCTTGATAGTCCAGTGCTGTGTCTTCTCTTTTGGATATTGTTTGCCGAGTCACGTAAAAGGAAGTAGGACAAAAATAGAGGAAAAAATAATAATAGTAGTAGTCGGGATAAGAAAGAATCTCAAAGTTCTTCTTTTTCTATAATATCTTTTCGCTAACTTTCGATATATTCTTTCTGGTAATACACTCGAGAAAGAAGAAGAATGAAGACACGAGGAGGTCGCGTCAATAATTCGTTGGACTAGCAGAGAATAGATAAAGAACGAATATCCTAAGCTCTTGCAAGATATTTTCGAGATAGTCGAGGTAAGATGTGGATTATCTTACAAGAAAGAATACAAAATTTCCTATCAATCTTCGATACTTTTATTTCATTTAAATGAATTTATATATTAAATACCTGCATATATGTGTATGCATGTATGTATATATAATACAATTATTATAATGATTAATTCCAAGATTAATGAATATTATAGACTTGTATATATGTGTTTGTAGAAAGTGACATGCGTTGAAATAAATATATTACAAATGAAAAGTTTGGGATTCATAAGTAAATTCAAAAAAGCAATGTTTTTAACGACGAATCTGAAGCAGATTATAACGAGAATTATGAAGATAAGAAAATATAAAATCTCTTAAGATATCATTCGATTTCTTAATATTTGACATAGCAACGATAGATTGTTGAAAAATAACTAATAATAAAAAAATAATCGATTTTTTTGGGCAGAACTATAGTAGACGATCCCAAGCTTTTCGCCAATAGTGTGTGCGTTATAATCTAAAGGATATAAGGGTTTGCGTGAATGTATGAGAAGGCATACATTTTGTAGGAGAATTAGGTCGATGCTAGCATATAGACCAGTTAGCGTTTGAGGCAACGGTGCATCGGATAATTTCCCTAAGCACACGTTCGTCGAACGAGTTGATCTCGATGTGACATAATCTTCGAAATCGGTTCGTTGTATGTACATACATAAGTACATACGGAAGCATGCTCTTTGGTATGTATATATGCATGTATTCATGTACGTATGTATCTATGTATGCATTTACTATCTATATACTTAGGTAGATAAACGAAATTTAAGCGTCTCCAAAGTGCTAGGAAGATACCATTCAGACCGAGAATCAATTAACGGGTTCCAGTCCTAATTATTCGCCATGCGTATCGATCGATAAGGAAACAAGTAGAAACTACTTTTATAAAATGTTATTGATTATTTTAATATAAATATATCATAACTTGTACGAATCTATTATCTATCGTGATATTTTAGGTTATTTAATATTTTGTCTTGTAAGAAAACTTGAATTTTTATTAGAAAAACACGCTTCGAAAAAGATATTTTAAAAAATTAATTTCTTTTGAAATAGAAATCTAAACAGTGTGGTTGTTTTAAAGAGGACAAAAATCCGATCGAGTTTTTAATAGGAAGATAATTTCATGAAAATCTAAATAAAATGATTGAATTTTCCAGTTAAATAATTAGCAAGTTTACTCTTATTTCTACTAAAATGAAAATCATAGGATAGTGTTCGGCAAGTGGCGAATAAATCGATAGGATGGTAGAGGGCCGATGATCAATGAGGCATACTGGCTCTCTCGCTTTAGAGGCTCGCGATAGCAATGCGTAAATAATTACGTTACCCTACCCTGATAGCACGTAATACGCAATGAATACCAGTGTACACCTACCGCACTAACGATATTACTGTCACGTTCGTTCGACGATCTATTTAGTTTAGGACAACGATGCCAGCATTAAAATTTATCTCTATTTCCCTTCTATCAATCGAACTCCCCGTTTCCTCTTTATGTAAATTATGTCTCTATACACATGCATATACGTGTTTCATAAGCGCAAAATATCATACATTGTATATATTTAATATTTATTTCAACGAAAATTAAATTAAAAGTTTCTACATGATTATAAAAGTTCTAATTTTTAATCCACACTTTTATAAGTGTAGTAGTGGTAGATTTAGTGTTAAACCAATAATTAACCTAAAGAGTCTCGAAAAAGGAAAAAAGGCCCTCGTAAGATCGACTAACCCATATATGGGTCCTCGAAAGGGTTGGTTAATCCATCTAAAAACTAAACTATTCTGTTACGATACATTCTCTTTCTCGATCGTTCATTTGTCTTCAAGATAAGCTAAAGATTCGGATTACGTGTCCGGTATCTAGCATGACTACGTATACATTTATTACATATACAAGCAACCATATCAATTAACGTATATTTATGTTTTATATAAAACAAATTAATTACAAAAATAACAAATTATAAGTATAAAATAGATAAACAATTGAACTAACCTCTTGAACTTTCCTATGAACGACAATTTTATGCCACTGGTTGTCGTCGAACCTGATTCTGGCTGGTTTGATATGTAGATCGTGTCTCCCTTTGGCCAAAGTCATCCCAACGGCGACACCACCGTCCCTAAGAGACACGGTTAGGTAATCGTCTCCCACACCTGTAATAGAAACACCATATACATACATATGTAACTGTGTATGTTACGTGTATCAAGTAGAAATTGCACGGATTCTCTCATTTTCTCCTGTTGGGATGGAAAATGGAAAGTAGAGAGGTGAAGGAATAGAGATAGGGGGAGTAAGGGAAAGGGTGGAGAGTAAGGGGGAAAGGAAATAGAGAGTTGAATTGGTTGCTTTTAAAGCACACATGTCGTGATCGTACGCTGATTATTCTACGAATCTGTGGTTACAGGATATAAAAGATGCAAACGGTACTTTGTACTTAATTGCCAGTATGCTAGCGCAAGAAGAACACATTTGCATAGTAACTCTAAGTTTATTCGCGCGTGTATCGTTGACGTTTATCTAGGAATCGTTCCAACTTTTAACAACAACAAGAAAAAATAAATAAAAACTATGAGAAAACTAATTTGATTCAAGGTTCTCCACAGGTAAAGATTTCTCGTGTTAAACTAATTTACCGAATGTCCAAAATTGAACAAATTGTAAAGATTGATGGTTGTAATAAAAAAAAAAGAATGATGAGAGAGGAATCTAAGAAAATCTGTTCGAAATTGAAGAAAAGTTGAATGTAAACAATTATTTACGATAAATGTCAAAGTGGTTGTTTAACTCGTGTAGTTTACCAATGCATTTCAAAAGTTATGTATTCACATTTACTTCAGTAATATATAATTTAAGGTTGATTATTATATTTCTATTAATTTCAAAGTCGTTCCAATATATAAATAAAAATAAAAATAAAAATAAAATATAAAAAAAGATGTGAATTAAAAAATAATCGCGTTATCTATAAACACGCGAATCTTTCCCCTTTCGATGCATCTCCCTACGTGCATATATACAATCATATATATTTAATGCATTTACTTTTATTACCATGTGCCTTCATATCAATGCCATAAAAATTTGCATATATACCCATAAACGTGTAAATGTAAACAGCCAGAAACACACACATTCGCAAATACGTAGACGCATACACGTGTGAAAGTATTAAATCTGGTATCACCTAACCTCGAACTCTGATTTTTTTCGAAACTAAAAATCATCCAGAGAGATGGGATACAACCTGCAATCTTTTATTGCAGCTCAGAGACACTGAATTTGTTTCGGACCATCCTATTCGACATAGCAGTCGCATTGCAGTCGGTGATCCCTAAGCTCTCGTCTTTTCGGCAGTCACGTCTATTTCATGTTGAAGGAAAAAGAAGAGGGTGGAAGAAATGAAGAGGAGGAAGAGATAAGGAGGACAGAGGGGGGAATAAAGAAAGAAGAAGGTTAGCCATCATATAGTTTGGTGTTGAAAACCGGCCGATTCTCTTGGTTGGAGTTCTGGGCCAAGTAAGCAGGTTCGAGGTAAAAGGTTAGCGAAGAGAGTTTAGAACGAAGAGGACCAAGGGGGTTGGAGTGGGTTAAAAGGGTGGAAGAGGAAGTGGGCTAGGTGGATGGTTGGAGGGAAGGGTTGCACCTTCGCCGCAGCTGCAGCTGCATCGCACGACTCGAAAGCAATATATATCGCCATACGGGCCGACGATACGATGCGCGTTCCGCAATGCTGTATCGCATACGGTACGAGCTTCGCTTTACTTCGTTGCGTTGCATCCGCAGTATTCTCTCTCTCTCTCTCTCTCATAGCCGCAACGCTAATTTGTTCTCAAGATAAGCTAAAGACTCGGATTACGTGAGCAGTGGTGGCTAGTCGGCATGGTTTTGTCCAATAGTAATTGCAATACCCCTTCCTCTATACTCCATCCCATTCGTTCTTCAACTTTGCTATCCCCTTGTCCGTACGCAGTATTCATGTATGCGAATATTTATGTCTGTGTTTGTATAAACAGAGTACACGTTCCGATCGAGGCGCAACTTACTTTCCTTTGAAACCCTTTTTCCCATATTTCTCTCTCTTTTCTCTATCTTTCCTTTACTTATGCGTCGACTTTTCTTTTTTTCATATCTACATTTTTTTTTTTTTCTAACAACCGTATTTTTCTCTCTCTCTCTCTCTTTCTTTTTAATCATTCTCTTTATTTATTCTCTTTGCGCGCAAACAAACATCCTTATTTCTTTATAGAAGTTTAATCAACAAACTTTTCGCGTTTTGACCCACAAAACTTTGTATTTGAGTAGGTGTATGCATACATGTGCATCAAAACTAAATCTATATCGAAACAAAGGACCGATGCATGTTTGTTACATAGGGTGTTTTATGTATATTCGGTACTAGAGAATTTATATCGATTTTTGTTTATTCTCTTTTTTCTTATATTTACATACAAATATTTGTTAAATATTTTATATATATATATTCTCTCGATTTTCATTTGCGAAGATACGCGAAAGCGTACAGTGGTATCGTGGTCTATTTTTTGTATTTTATTTCCTTTTCTTTTTTTGTTGGATATTGCATATACACTAGGAGTAAGCATCACAATGATATTAACTTTGAAAATTTTGTTTTATTTAAATTGTAAACGTGTTTTAAATACGTATCTTATTTTTTATATATAATATAATTATAAGGATTTAGATTTTAATTCGCAGGATTATAATTTATAGACGAGAGCACGCATGTCAACGGTATTTGTATGACATAATAACTCCGAGGTAGAAAACTCGTGAAAATAGCTTTTTGACTTTTCAAAAGTGATATTTATACACATACATTCATGCGCACTAACACAAATCGAATCGTATGCAGTTAAAACGTTCACATACACACACACTTATTCATACTAACTTCATACTTTAGCATAATTTGACGGATTATTTATTTTTACGGTTTGAAATGTAATATAAAATATCCTACATATATATTTTATTTATTATATTTTCTATTATTATAAAAGAACACTTTATAGTTTCGCGATTTCGACAACGTTAGGATATTCAGACATGATCGATAAAAACACGTATCCTTCATTTCGTTTTTTCTTTTTCATTTTGTTTTTCTTACAAGAAAATGTTATACGTCGACTCGTTTTCAAAGTATCCGATCAAGAAAAGTAATACAGAGCGAAGATGATACACAACGAAAAGGATGCACGTATCCCAAAGGACTCGGCCTCCTTCGGAAAGCACAGGGGCTTGTTTGTTTTTTCTGGATGTGCTAGTTATACGAAATAGGTATGTATACATTTTACCGAGCAAAAAATAGAAGAACTCTCTCGCTCTCGCACATGCACGGGAGCGCGTTTATGGGTTCAGATTTATTTTTTTCTTTTAATATGAAATGAGCTCATCGTGATCCTCTAAGGTTTTGTTACTTTCAATCGAGAGACCTTCGACCTCCATCATTGTGATTGCATTTTGAAGATAAAAGCTGTTGCATTAAAGCATACACTTTTTACAATATTTTCTTTTTTATATTTATTTGTTTCTCTTTTCTTTCTATTTTTCATTTTTTTTTTGTTACATTTTACGAGCGGGCAATTCTCTCGTGAGTATGCGAAAAAGAAAATTAGAATTACTATTCCCTACTTTCGTGGTCCAGATTTTAAATATGCAATGAGGGGTATTACGTTTAATATGGACGAGGTGGACGCTTAAAAACAGTGAAACTTAATTAACGCGCACTACGCTCTTAAAAAAAGAAAAAAAAAAGGAAAGAGAGTGTGTGAACGCATATATGTATGGTCAATTTAATGAATAATATTCTTAACGTTTAACGTAATTCTTAACGAAAATATACCAGATTCAGGATAACAATAAAATCGTATAAATATATACAGGGTGTTCTGTAATAGATGGTACAAACGAGTAGGAAATAATTGTACACGAAAAATGTAGTGTAGTAGTCAAAATGTACAATTAAATTTATCCATATAAGATATTGTTGTTGAGAAAATTAAGTTTGAAAATTTGTCGAGTACACGTAACCAGTTACATGAATATTTATAATGTATAAATAATGTATATGTATATTTTATATAAATAATTACCGGAATAAAAGAAGAGTCCATTAGGTTGTCTCGTTTTGAATTGAAGTCCGACGGATTCCTGCGTACTTAAAATGGGGTCTCCTTTGCTCAGATCTATCGTTAAATATTCCGTTCCACGGAATGAAGCCTCGGAAGGTGCTTTATCTGTAATCGAAAAAAAGCAACATTTTATTAATTTATCATAAATTATGTTATATTATCTATAGTTATTAAATATATGCTATAAATATAGTATAATTATAAAAAGTATTCGTACAGCAGTAAATTTGAACCAAAACTTTGAAGAACTTAAACTAAAAGTAATATTTCATCGTAATTACCGATGTTCACGCTTTTCCATTGTGACTACGACTAATCGTCGAATTATAAATGACAATATAAAAGAACCAATACGTTATATACTAAGAACATAAACAAAGCGGTCACCTCTCCACACTCTAACATCTCCGATATACATTTATTTACATATTTTACCGACAACGTCCTAGTAAGCCGTTGGAAGTCTTCTCGACAACACGTATGTAAGTATAAACTTGTAACGCTAATAAATCTTTGATCATATTTAATCTAGGTTGGAATAGAAGCTTTCTATCGATCGATTAAAAGCTTCTACCCCCTTGCCCCTCACCCGTTACCTCTTTCCCACCCACTTTCTACGTCTATACAACACATCCGTGAAAAGTTCATTCGAGACGTCGCGACGACCTGAAAGAAAGGCGGATCCCTTTTCTTTTTCAATACACGTTCGTAATTTTTAATTGAGTCTCGAGACGTCTGATCTCGTCATTCATGGAAAGACCAGACCCTTGAACTTTTTTTGCCTTAGGTAAAAAAGGGAGAGTGTGCGAACGAGCGAGAGATAGTAAAAATAAGAAAGAGAGGGAAAACTCTCTTCTCATTATTTTCCACCTAGGTATTGTTAGCGTGCGAACAAACAAAAGTGCACCTTGGTGGATGGTGCAAAAAGGCCATAAGACGTTGCTTAATGGCTTTGGCGAATAGCCAAATCGCTGCCACGAGCTTCAATGCACCGAGTTTGCCGATTGAAATGTCCATTACCACCACGAATAATTCACTGATTCGCTAAAAAAGCTCAAGAAATATTTCTATATCTGTGTCTATGTGCATCTCTATGGACAAATGTATTTTAGTTAACATTTATATATCATACTATTTACTTTCTTTATTATTTATGTTTTTCAAACTGTCTGATATTCTTTTTCATTTAAACTTCTTTCAATGACCGAATTTTCAATTTTAATTTTATTCTGTTATTTTATTTTTAAATTATTATTTTTTTTACGAAAAAATCGAGATTTATATTTTGGTTAAAAAACAAATTAAAATGTTATTTATGAAAATTCAATGAAATATTTGTGTCAAAGGATTTGAGAAAGTATAATATATCAAACGGGATGAGCTTGATTTTATTTTAACGAAAATAAATTCAAAATCTTCGATTGACATGAATTCCGATGAAATTAATAAAAATCAAGAGAACAAATACAATATTTATGTTTTGTGCTTTTTTATTAACAGATTTTTATTTGCATTTTTTAAGAAAATAAAAATAAATCTGTTGAAAATAAAGAGAAAGAGGCAATTGTAGTATGTTGGAAAGAAAGAAAAAAGAGAAAGAGAAAGAGAGAGAGAGAGGTATTTTCACGGATGATGCAAAAGCTTTCAGCTAAACAGCGTTTCTTCCCTTTTGACTGTTATACGGTAATTGCATGCGCAGCCACGCGTACAAGCTTTCCTATCTTCAAATAGCACATTGTATGTATTCGTCATTAAACATTCGGAAAATTAAAGTGCCTATGATCCTTTATCTTCACTTTTCATTATTTTTTCTTTTTTTTTCTTTTACTTTCGACGCACATACGTCTCTCTTTTTCTCGTCGCTTTGAGATTAATTATATTATAATAGCTAAAGATTTCTCTCTCTCTCTCTCTCTCTCTCTCTCTCTCTCTCTCTCTCTCTAATTCTCTCTCGTTGAAATCGAGTTGTGGTCGGGGAGAAAAAGATGATAAAAAAATATTAAGAGAGCCAGCGAAAAAGGCAACCCGCAGATGCCCGAATTTCGAGTTGTGGATGAAAGAAAGTTTGCCTAACGTAGAAACGGAATTGAAAAAGAGAGAGAAGGAAGAGGAGAGAACGAAAGGGAGGAAGAGGGTGAAACGAAAAGAGTGGCGAGGGTGGTGTTGAAGAAGCTTTCGGCAAAATTCGAGTAACGACGTAGACCGAGTTACGTTAGCGTAGTTTGCGTTAACACTATTCTCCAGTCATGGCACCGCAATACGAGATACGTCCGGAGGATAGCTGCTAAAGCTTTTCAAATTGCAGCAGCACGATATTCGACTTGGTACAAGGAATGAAGTGGGAGTAGGAAAGAAAGGGATAGAGGAAGCGAGAAAAGGAAGAAATTGAGGGAAGACCGGTAAGTAGGGCGAAGATCTACAGTGAAATAGAGAAAAAAAAATATGAGAGAGAGGGAGAGGGAATAGGAGGAAAAGGAGGAGGATAAAACGATGTTAATGCCCGCCTGCCGACGACTAATTGTGAGCCACGCTACTATAGTTCCACCGACGCGACGCTTTGAATTATGAAAAAACTTGGGAGCATCGTTCCGCGAGAGAGCTCCCAAGCTTCTCTTTTTTCTAATAGAGAATGTGAGCAAGGAAAGAGAGAGAGAGAGAGAGAAAGAAGGAGAAGGAGGGTATGTCGATGTACGACCTTTTTAACCCCTTTTATTTTTTTGCTTTCTCTCTCTCTCTCTCTCTTTCTTTCTTTTATCTTTCTTGCTTTTTATTTGAATAAAATGAATTCTGGAATATCATCTTGTGAGATTCTTAGTAAACGTTTCTCTCTCTGTCTTTCTTTTAGATTTCTATTTTAAAATGTAACGTTGAGTATAAATGTTGTAATACGTTCACCAATAACGATTTTCTAGAATGATGATGACTCAGTAATTATCATAAGGTTTCGAAACTTACGATAATTACACAACGTGCTTAAAAATGATCTCGTCGTTCTCTACTTGTTTCAAAAGGTCATTTCTAATCCTAATGTCCGATCATTTTGTTAATTAAACATGTAAATTCTACTTACAACATAAATCAAGACAAAGATAATAACGAGGAAGAAGTTAAAGTAAATTGTTCTATATAAGTTGAAAGCAAACAGTAATGATCGGAAAAAGTTAAGGATGTATAATAAGTAGTAATATTCATTAATTGTTTTTTACTCGTTATTACATTGTCAGTGATGTTACCTAATCTTATTTCTCTTGATGAAAAGAAAAAATCTTCCAAAGGAGGTAGTTTCACACCTGGCGTTTTCTCACGATCAATTGCACCTGCACAAACACACACACACACACACATTACGTTTTATCGTAAATCTCTTCGCTTTGTTTTCATATTTTTTATATATCTTTAAATATATATATGTATACGTGCTTTTTACACATACTAAATTATTTCCTGTTTTTCTGTTTATTTATAGACATTTAAATAGTAGACAATGACTTGACAAACTATGATATTTTTAATTCGTCCTCATCTTTCTCTCTCTTCTTACATTTTTATCCTTTTTTCGATATATACTCATTTTCCACGTACTATATTATATAGAATATATTTATTTTATGTAAATAGAATTCGTCTATCATTGCAATAAAGTTTATCGAACCGATTTATCTATCTATCTATATAGCTATACAATTTTTTACACACATACAAAGTTTCTCCTTTATTAAAATTCTAGACAACAACGCTCGCAAGTGCTTTAAAAGCGTTCGAATCGTGTCAGGTTCGATTTAATTAAACAACATTGAACCACGTTGAAAATATCGACTACCAACTGAGACATTTTTTTCTATCTTTTATTTTTCGACAATTCCCAGGATTCTCTTTTTTATTAAGGCGAAAATAACGAGGTCATCGGCAATATATCGACTGTGAGTGAACTAGAGAAAGAGAGAAAGAGTATCAGTGTCACGGAGAGAATCTTTTTAATAAATTCCATCGGCTCAACGGGACGATAAAAGCGGCATTAACGCTGTCGTTCGATCTCGTCTCTACTATCCTATCCTTCTGAACACTCAACCATCCCCCCACCCCTCACCAAACACCTCAACTAACCCCTCAACTAACCCCTCTTCACCTAACCGTCTCCACCATCCTCCTATCCCACTGCCACCTCCTCACAAAACCTCTCACCGTTCCAACCGTCCAACCACCCCGTTACTGCAACCCTCTACCCACCACCTCTTTCACGCTAGTCGCTCTCAGTAGTCCATGCAGGATTAACCGGGTAATCTCCTGAAGAGCCTCCGGGACAAGAGTAACGAGGTCCCGCGGGAAACGAAGATCTTTTCTCATCTTGAAAACTGCGTCTTTTCTCCTATCATTCTACCGTTTTCTTTCAGTTTCCTCCTTGTCTCCTTCTTTCTTTCTTTCTTTCTTTTTTCATCCTTTCTCTTCCTTTTCTTCTTCTTTTTTCTTTTTCATTCTTACTTTTATTTCTACTTTTTATTTTATACGATACGTTCCACTCGAGTTCTCTCCAATGAATCTCGATTTATCTCGAATCGTGTCCGAGTACTGCTTTTTCGATCGATGTTAATCGATTTTCGAAGTAATGACTTTTTATTTCCTGTGTCTCCTTTTTATTATTATCGTTGTTGTTAACCTTTATATTGTATTGAATAAAAACCTTTCTTGTTTAATTGCATCGATCAAGAGATTAATGTAATTTTTAATTTCATAAATTGTTACACGGATGTTGAGTTTTTACAATTTATTTGTATTTTTTGATTATAGTAATTTTTAATTAATATCCAAAGAATATTCAAGTATATGCTAAAGATAATTGGGATAATATATTCTTTGCTTTATTGTTTTATATATTCCTATAAGATTTTTGATAAATGGAGGTAAATACAACGAACAATTATTATCATTGAAATGCATAAAATGTCCATTTTATTTGTTCATTTTGAACGGTATTATGATAGGTATAATAGTTGATAAAGTAATACTTTTATTTAGATTTTTCATATGATATATCATGCATACTAGCTTACCCTTAAATGTCTAAAATAAATCAATTTTAATTCAACAATAATTAAAAATGATTACAACAACTAAATAGCGTTATCTAATTACCGATATCTACTTCAACCAATTTTTCTATTCCATAAAAAATAATCTTTGGAACGTGAGGCGTTCTTCTTTCTTACAACCTCGATATTCGACGATACTCTTGAACATCGTCGAAGAACACGAGTAAGATCGAGGTATGGGGACAGGAAATGGCCGAGAACAGAGCCCGTACCGTCTTCTTTATCGAAGAAACGATATTTTCTTTTGGACCAACCTAATGCCCATAGTCATTCCTCGAGGTCGAAACTACAAGTAGTAGAGGAACCAAAGAAAAGGAGGATCTTTAGTTGAGAATGCGATAAGGCTTTCAACGCGAAAGCTCGTATATATCTGCTAACGAGCACAGACATACTTTCTCTTTTCCCTTTCCCACCCCCTACCCCTCCCCCTTACCTTTTCTTCATCTGACGCCCCCTTGAATATCATAATTTATGTTTCTACGAATTTGCGAGGATATCGGAAAGACGATTTTTCAGTAGATCAGATAAGACGCGTATAAACGTTTTTTATTACAGGAAAATATTACTCCAGCATTAATCTAAACGTTAATAAATAATTTTATTTAAAAATAAACGAGAATTTGCCCTTAAAAATATATTAATTACTTTATATATATTGTTACGAGCCGACTTGGGCAGCCCTAGGATGAAGGGCTTGAGGGCCGTTTCCAGGAGACTCGTGTCTGTTGGATTCAGAATTTGACAGGTGGCCGAAGTATTCGGACGTGACGGCTAATCTTATCTTTTACTGCATATTTACTATCTCCTTTCTTTTCTTTTCTAATATTTTTATTTACTTTTACGCTTTCGCTTACAGTTTTTCTTAAACTATTATAACAATACTTTTAAATTCTTTACAGTTCCTAGTTGGATATATTTGATTTCTAATTTCTCTTCAGATGTGATACAAAATGCATAAATTACTATTACCTACGTTGTATAATATGTTGCTTGATATAATGAAACTTTTGTTGTTAGAAGTATATTATCATCTAACACACGAGCAGTTTACATTTAATTTAAAGTTAGATGAGAGTCAGTTTGTAATATTAAATGTCACCAAAAGATGAGGCACTTATTTCCTTAACCTTTTGAGGACTATGAACACATATGTATGTGCGTTCGGCAAAATTATTCATCATGAGCTATGAACGCATATATGGGTTCTTACACAACTATTCAATTTGGGTTATGAACTCATATATGGGTTCAGTTACTGCACAAATTATTTTAATTACAATTAACATATTTAGCAATGAAATTTGAGAGTTAGCCAGTTCAGTATATGCGTTACCGTCAAAAATAGGAAGTCCACAGCACAAGTTTAACGTAGCACAACTCAGCGCTCAAAGGGTTAAAAGGTCTTAAAGTAAGTTTTAAAAAATATAATCTCACGATAATAATATTTAAAATAACAAAAGAATTGTAATGCTACTCTTTTCCTCTTCGATTAACGAGGTCGCCTTTCAGTAAATCGATCGACGTCCTCCAATATTTAGCGTTCGACACGCTCACACATGCCTTTCCTCGATTCCTCGAGTTCCTCGATATATTTAGATGTGTTAGATCGAAGTATAACTTAGAGTTATCCCTCCCACAACGAAAGCATTCCTTAATAAAAGGGTTGCGAAAATACTTAGAATATTTATGTGCCGGTAATTATGATATTGACCTAAGCTAGCAAATTATACAAATTTATCTTATCATTTATTTTATTGTATACTGAAATTATTTATGCTATTTATTTATTTCATTTTTCTTATTCTTGACATACAATTAGTCCATTGTCATAACTAGCATATACACTGGGTGAATTAAATTTAAATCCAACTACTTATAAATAACTCGATTGCTAGTATAATCCCACGTTAATAATTTATTTGTACTTGAACGAACATACGAAGGTCAACTCTATATTTTTAAATGCAATGACATATTTTTCTATGCGTTTTTATCTTTTTCATTTATATATAGAGTGAAACAAAAAAACGTAATGCATAGAACGGGATTATATCAGCCTCGAAACCAACTTGGTTTCGTCAACGTCATTTTTTCCATCATCAATCGCAATCAAGTTATTGATATGGCCTGTTTTAAATGCTTCATCCGGTATATATTGTATGTGGTTTACTTCACCGGTAGTTTCTGTTGAGCAATGTCGTCGCATTGCATGTCGAGTAACGCAATATACATGCTAATATGATAGCTCACACTCGAGGTCTGAAAGATGGAGATCTCTGGAAAATGTTCACCAATGGTGCATACGTGTGTGTGTGTGTGTATGTCTCTATCTATTTCTATTTCTATCTCTTTCTATCCCTCTCTTTATCTTTTACTTTCTGTTCTTGTTCATGGTCCAATTCGAATTGATCCCTTTTGGGATGAAGTTCGATGAAATTTCGACCGAAGTGAAAACGCAACGTAAAAGTTCCCGAAAGACCTGATTTCCAAGAGACCACAAAACTCTCTTTTTCTTTCTCTTTTGTTCTCTCTCTCTCTCTCTCTCTCTCTCTTTGATTCTGTTTCTCTGTATATATCATCCAAGTCCCTGATTCGCTATTATTCACTGATTAGTTTCTCCCTGTTCCACGTTTTCGAATAATCTCTTTGGTTCGATCGCCGTATTGGATCACAGACGAATGGATACGAGTGTCGATAACACGACTATCGGCGCGAACTCGGCCGTACAAATCGTCCTGATAAAAGCTTAGAGATGACAGAATTCCAAACAATTCCGTGCATGATCATTACAGCTTTTTTCGAAGCGTAAACGGTAAAAATAATCACGCGCTTATATATAAAATAATGAGTAAAATAAAAAAAGTGAACAAATCTTTTTGGTCTCTTTTAAACAAACACAATTATTTACGCGACCGAGATTTTTGTCCCAAATTTAAATGTAAATAGTATGTATATTTAAATATTTCATAAAATTTTAACAAAATGATCTCTCTCTCTCTCTCTCTCTTTCATTGAAGTTGACTAATTTTGTAGGGAGAAAAGAAAACACCATTGATAAAAGAATCTATTGGTGCTCTTTTAAAGAACAAAACTAAATATAACAATTGTGAATTGTTTAATAAATTAATAATAACAATTATAATATATAAATGATTGTTAGTGAAAATAAATTAAAAATGAATTTTGTTTGAACTTTTAATTAATATTATTATAATTACAAGGCATATAAATTTGTTTCTTATAAGTAAATTTTATTCCTCGATGATGATAAACTCTATTGAAAGATATCTATGATAGACAGAAGGCAAACTTTAGCAAGAAATAGATCTGATAGAATGAGAAACAATGTGTCGAGTTAGCAAAGTGACGTTTAGTGCCATGTTTCACGCTAGAGTCGGACTAAACGTTCCGCGAGAAACCAAATGGAATGAGAAACATCGATTTAAACGTGAGCAACCGATCAGAAATCCATGATATCAACGACTGGTTTATACATCAACGGTGTTTATTCGCTAAATTGAAAGGAGATAGAGAGAGGGAAAGGCAGAGAGATTTATTTAATTCCAGTTATAAACCTCCGTATAAAAATGATCAATATATTACATAAAAATGAAAAAAAATATACTCGGCAGTATGTATTTTTAATAAGATTAATAATAATCACAGAATAAGTTAAACTATGTCGAGAGTTAAGTTATTGCTATAGTAACACAATAATATAATTATAATTATTTTTATAGCGGGTGTTTTTTTCAGCATTTAAGAATTCACGTTGGGATAAGATTTTGTTCACACTTTTATTTATTATATAATATGCTGGTTAATTTTTGTGTAAAAAAAATTGGGATATGAATAATATAATATGAATATTAAAGTAATAAAAAATAAATAGATAAATGTAATTTTCATTTAGGTATGTCAATCAGATAAGATTTATAAAATTAGTCAATAAATCGAATCTTGCGTGGATGAGTTGTGGTGGGCGGCTCGTTTTGTAGAAACTTTGGAGAATTCATAGAGAGAAGGACGAAGTACGTTCGGCGTTCACCTTAATAAAGGGACAAAATTCATTAGAGCTTACGTTTAATCGCTATTCGAAGGATCGATCGCGCGGTTATTCGGCATCCGGATAATGGAGCTTCCGTCGTGTTCGAACCGAATTCCTACTGCGGCTTTAAACTCCCTACAGTCGGAGTTTCGAAGGTTTAGCTTAGCCATTTGGTGATCGCAATGTATTCAGAGTGCAACGAACCTATGAACTTGGAGTCCACGAAGTAAGCTCGAGCTATGAGATAAATACGAGTTTTGTTTCTGGATCCTGTTTCCTCTTTAGACTTACATACACTTTGGTCATTCTACGTTTTACTACAACACTCTCATATAGTCTACGTCTAAATTAAAAGCAATACATTCTTTTCTAAGCTTTTAGCACGTTACTCTATTTTCTAAAGGATGAACTAGATGAACTGCGCGCTTGCTATTTTCACCGAAACCATTACCTCCAATCATTTGGATTTTTTATCTTCAATCAAGGTAACCTTTTATTTTCTCTATCAACATTTTTAAGGATTTCAATAAAAAGCACTTTAATCATTTATTCGCTTCATTCGTTATACGTGATTTATTTTTAAGCTGATTTATTATATTACTGGGTATAACACAATGACACTTATTTCTAAAACTAATTAATAAGCAATAAATACATAAAAATATGAATAAAGGGATCATACATAGGTGTTGATATATTTACAAATAATCGTGATATCAAATAATTGATAAAACTCACTGTAATCCCAGTAATCGGCAGCACCGGCCGTGGGCAGCACCGTACTCCATGCTTCTATGCGAAAACAGAAAAAGGGAAAGGAGGAAGGTAAAAAAACTGAACCATGCTTCGTTGAAAATATGAAATATGAAGATTTTAATGAAACTAATATGTGTGCATATTCGTGTATAGAAAACTAGATACGTGCGTAAATGTTTGTTTGCTTGGCCTTAATCCATTCCTGGTCGTTTCAATGACGACTTTAACAAAGTCATGAGATATGAAAGAAAAAAAAGTGAAAGAGAAAAATAGAAACAACAAAATATAGATATACGCATAGCAAAGATAAAAACAATGTGATAAGCGAAAAAAACATCTCATGTTGCACGCATAAACACGAGAAAGAGAGAGAGAGAGAGAGAGATAGAAATCCAAAGACAAACAAACAGAAAGAGTAGGAAAAAATCGTATGCATTTACATAAGTACATAAGTATTATACATAAATCTTATACAACCTGAAACATTTTTACATACACTTTTTGTATCAGCTTTTACGGCTGAAAGAAGAAACTTATTTCTATGGCTATACACACAGTAAATAACAGGAGTATTCCTATCCGTACTTACTATAAAATTGGAAATAATTATTATTTGTTTTTACAAAGTGTTTTAAAATTGTTATTCACATATTCTAGATTGATCAAAACCCTTTGTGCATTCTAAAGATTAACCGGGCAATCTGTACAATGCCCGTATTAGTAAATTGACTATACACACACGCACGCACACATATATACACAATATGTATATAGAACCAACGATACATGGATAGGTATATGAACCTATGTAAAGATATATGAGAAGTAGCATTCATATATAATCGTTTCCGAGAGACTTGGAATGATTTTCTCGGTAAGCTTTTCAAGGGAAACGATCGAGTTATCGCATATATGCGTTTCCCGTGAAAACAATAATCTCATATCGTGCAGGAAAGCCGAGCAGCAACCAAGCTACAACCCTCTCGAGCGTAAAGCCAACTACAACCCTCCGTACATTTCTCACCGTACTTTTTATGCTCTCTCTCTCTCTCTAATTTTTTTTCTTTTTTTCTCTCTTTTCCTCATATAACTCGTAGGAATGGATTTTCACATGATTTTTTTCCCATCCAGACGCATCGTTAGGGAGTGTTAACAGCGTTAACCGTGTTAGGAAGCTTGACTTCAAGTCAGCGAGGAAGAGAAAGAGAAGAAGAATTTTATGCACACGCATATACATACACATGTATAAATATATGTAGATATACGCGTTAAGATATACGTTTATTTCACGTGAGATGAAGAAGGAAGACAATAAAAAAGTTGTCGCGTTCATAGCCAGTACGAAATTATTACTCCGAGAGGAAATTTATTTTTCTACCACCAACTTCTATATTCGTTCCAAACGGATGAACTCGAGTTTTTGTAATGAAAAACTAAATTTAACTAATCAATACATTTTTAAATGATTGAAACTTACAAAATTGTTTTATATTTTATTTGTATTTAGAAAAAATATTTAAATACAATTGTGCGTTTCTTCTAATTCGGTTGTTTCCAATTGCCAAAAAAATGCAAAAAATATCAATGTCTTTAATTATTATTATTTATCACTTTACACTCACACATCCTGCTCTTCACACACAACGCAACACACGTCACATATATTATAACTTTCAACTTTCTTTTTGAGTGACGAATAGCAAAATCGTTCGTGAAGTAAGTATGATAGAAGGAAAAAGAAAAAACGAGGAGAAAGAGGAGGGTGGTTGGGGGTTGAGGGTTGTGGATTGAAAAGTTTGGAAAGTTGCATATGTTAGTCGTAAGCAGGAAGGAGTAAAATGGGTCAGTGATGAACTCCCACAAGGGTGGTAGTCAGCCGAAGCCGACGTTCGAATTCCACCACCGCTTCGTGTCGTCCACCAATATATTCAAGATCTTCCTCGTGTCATTTCCCACCCTTATTCACATTACCAAGATTATGTATTTAATAAATATCTTTTCTATCTCTTAGAAACACATAATAGAATTTTTAATTTAACTTTCATCGAACGTATTATATACAAATCAAAAATGTTTAATTATTTTGTTCAATGATTAAACAGTTGAATAAATGTTATTACAAATTTCGTGTTGTCTTAATATTTATTTGTTTAATTATCTAAATTTGTATTAAAATAAATTAGGAATATACTAACTGTATTCATAGGATTATAAGACATTTAAGAGTACATTTGTTTTATGTAAATTTTAATTACTCATGCAATGAATTCTCATTTGAATTAATGAAAACATTAAAAAGTTAGTCATTGAAAGATTCATATTACTTTTTAGGTAAATACTATCTAAAAAACGATTAAATAAAAATATAAAAAACAGAATTAAACCGATTAGAATAATTAGAATAGAATCGTCAAGGAGATTAAAACCAATGTATGAAAGAAATTCAACTCTCACTTTCCTATTGTTACACGAGTCCAGTCATTCGCTTTGGAGTCTTTACTTTTAGTAGCCTCGAGCAACGACAATTAGTAATAAAAGGGTGAACGAGAAAGAAAATAAAAACGTACGACGACGACGACGACGACGACGACGACGACGAATCGGAGATTATGGCGTCAATTGAACACATTTTTTTCGTTCGTTGAGTAGCGTGCGTGGGAAACAGTCGTCGTTCGTCTTCCTTTTTCTACTGTGCAGAAAAAAGATGAGAAAGGAGGAAGGGTTGAAGGATAAGAGGATGGGAAGAAAGAACGGAGTTAGGGAGCTTTGCACGAGCATACTCGAGGTCGACGTTAGCTCGACGTAGAAGGTATGCGAAAGGAAAGTTTTTATCCTTTATTCAACGTGCGTGTTTTACGAGCCATTCGCGACGCTCGTTAAAATGCCGGTTCTTGCCTTTTATTTGCGTTACGTTAGCATAGTTAACCCTTCTCTTTTCCCCGATCCCCTTTTTTCTTTCTCTTTCTCTCTCTTTCTCTTTTTTTTTTTCTATTTTTATTAATCCTTATTTTGTTCTTCATTCTTCAAAGCAAGTATCGATATTCAAAGGAAATTAATGGTGTCATATTAAAACTCTTTGATGGATGAAATAATCCAGTTTGTATGATACTTTATTAGATTGTGCACTAATCCTATTCGATCATACATGTTCTCTTGTTTATCAAGCTTTTTCAAATAATTTTTCGATCTCTTTTATAAGAAAAATTATATACCTTCGTATACGTCAGGGTTGCATCATTATTATCATTTTTTGGCGACCAATTAATAAACATTATCAGCGTAAATTCATTTAATCGGTTGTTGACGAGTAACGTGTTAAAAAATATTATAAGATTACTATACATGTATGATTATGATCTAAACAAAAATGAACATTTCAAAAAGTACATATCTCTCAAAGATTTTTGTGCATTAATCTAGTTTCACATTGTTTTACTATAGCATTCAATTCTTTGTTGAATTTCTATGAGATCCCAACGGACTGATTATTCCGACCGTAATAAATTTTACGTATCCTTTCACATCAGAGCTTCGTTTCCAGTACTTCTTCTCTTTTCTATCCACGTAGGTACCACATTCATCCTTTCTTTCTCTCTCTCTTTCTTTCATTCATTCATTCATTCTTTCTTTCTTTCTTTGTCTCATCCAATCCGAGAGAGCTTCACCGCTATTCCTGACTCTCGAAAGCGATTTATCACCTTCCACTATCCCTTTTCTCGCGTCCTTTTTATTCATCCTCTCGTTACCGATTCTCTAAGCTACCCATCTAGAACGATAATTAAAAAGTTCCTTCATGGATATGGATGGAAAGAGTACCTACCGCCCAAGCAAGTGCGCACCCACCCTCCACCACGTACATAATTGGATCTAAGCGATCCGCGAAAAATCTTCATGCTCGACTCGTGTTAGAAGCTGGAACTAATCCCCTAATCGCTTACGATGTTCACCAAATGCCGCTATTTTTTCTTCTTTCCTTTTTTTATTTATTTTCTTTTTTATATAAACCAAACGTGCAACCATTACCGTGGTTTCTTCTTTTTTTTTTCCTTTTTTTTCTTTTTTTTCTTCGTTCCTCTTTCGCTTCACATCATTCCCCCTCTCTTTCTCACACTCCCCGTTTCTCTCTTTTTCTTTCTTTCAGTTTCGTAAAATTTTCATGAGAGACGAATGGGCGGACGGTTTTCGACGAGCTAACGAGTGCACCCACCACAACGACCAACTGACGCCAGGGAAAGGGAAATTTTCATATTTTTTACCTTTTTTTCCCTGATTTCTTTTTTACTCTCTTTTTGTTTTTTCGTTTTACATGTATAAGTAACGTAAGGGATTTACTTTAATTGCGATGCACTATGCGCGATAATGTTCGCTATGGCTACACCGCCACGTACTTATATATTTGTGTGTACGTGTGGGTGTATGCACGCGCGTGTTTCTTTTTTATGTGCAACATATCCACGTGCGCATACGACACACATTCACGCGACAAAGTTACGTTCCTCTTGACAATTTCTTTCGTGAAAAACGCACGTCCCTTTTAGAAAAAAAAAAGAAAAAGAAGAAATTAAAAAGTTAAAAAAACCAAACAATTCACATGCTTCTTAACGTCCTGCCTTCTTTCCTCCGGGTTAAACGTAGTTGCAAGCACCTTTTTTTGCTTACTTACTTTCTTTTCTTTTATTTCCACATGTTCTTTCATTTTCAACTCTTATCCGCCAATTTATTTTCCGTTAAAGCAGTTTACCATTTTATTCTCTCTAATGACAACGATGCAATACTAATGATAATAATTATAATACTAATATAATAATAATTATTATTATTAATTTATTATTATTATTGTTATGACGATCTAACGTGGAATCGATAAAAGTACAATCAAACGTTTCGTTAGATTAAACGAAACGGTATAGAAACATGTCACGCTGCTATACAAGTAGGGACACACACATACGTATATTATTTATATGTAAATATATATATATATAATGTAATATACCAGTATGGCAATCGAGAATGTCGAACTGTTAACGCACAAATATAAATTAACGAGCTATCAAGTGCGGTATTTATTCGATATAGTATAGAAAAAGCGCTTACAACGCAGAAATGAATCATACGGGTTCTATATCCACCAGTAATATAATTAAACTACCCTACTATATACACTTTCATATATACAGGGTGCCTTAAAATATATGAGCATAACTTCAAGGAGCATAATTTCAATAAGCTCAAATAATTAAAAAATGATCATACCAATCGTATCCTCGACGTGCCTTTGATTTCCGAATTGTATCTGTTTTTTTATTATTTTTATAAAAACTGCTCAAAGTTACCATTTTTGGCTTAGCATAGATTGTTAAGAAATATCAGAATTTGAATTTGCTGACAACGTTGGGTAAGAAATTAGTAAAGTTATGTGAAGTACTGGAAGTATGATTATCAAAAAATAACTATAACTTGAAAACAAAGTCATACTATGGGGTATATGATTATATGAACTTGTTTTCCTTATTTTAGCATACCTAAACCGCTCCCTTTGATGTTACGTCGATATATTTTGAATGACCCTGTATGTACACAAATATAGAACATTTCTCGTTGATGTAGGAAAGTGTTATGCATAGTTCGTTACTCGCTATCGAGTCGAAAACGATGATCGATCTCTCTCACTTAGGAAAATACAACTCGTCGTGTTAAAAGATTAATATCTTCTTCACGTTGATATCCTCTCGATGCAATACACATACACATACACAAACATACAGATAAAACCAAAACGTAAACAAAAAATGTGGAAAAGAAAAAAAAGAGGAGGGAAATGTTTCCTCGATTTAAAAAAAGAAAAGAAAGAAAAAAGAGAGTAAAGAAAAAAGTGGAAAAGAACTGACCTTTTTCACAGTAAGCACCCTCGTAATCACCGGAACGGCATTCGCAGATGGGTCCGCTATCCGTTGAAATGCAGATTCCACCATGTTGACAAGGATCTCGCGTCTCGCATGCGTCCGTCGTGTTGCCTGTCATCGAGTTTCGTAAGCTCTGCAAATAAAAACGTTGCGAATTCGGGTCAGAAAGTCGATCGATGTGACACACAAGTTTAATAGAAACAGAAGATTAAAGTACATTTGTCAATAACGATAATTATGATAGTTGATTAGATCAATATTAACAAAATTAAATAAATTTTTATTACGATCAGTTTTTTTAATTATTGATAAGAATAAAAAGCAGTAGTTCGTATTAAATAAATTAAATTTTAATCGCAAAGTAACGTTGCTTATATCATTTTTCTGTTCGATCGTTGAAATTTATTAAAATAAGATAGATTTTAAGTATAAAAAAGTAATTAATTCTAGGGGGGAGGGGAGGGAAGCGTCAACGGATCACACAAATTAAATGTATGAAAATACAATTTCTTTTTAATATCGAGAAGAAAACGGGGGCATCTCCGTTTCCTTAAAAAACATTACATCAATTTAATTACGCGATATTGCGGATGACATTGAGAACAAATTCGATAATAGAAAAGAAGATTACATTTGTACGATAACTTGTGTTAAGAAAATCATTTTTTATGTAAAAAGAGTCTTCGTAAAAAAACAAATCGAAAGAATTCAAACGAAATATCAATTTCTATTCGATTAATCATTACGTAACTATTTTAACACGTTATTGCAGATGACATTGAAAGAAATTCAATAATACAAAACGAAGATTACACTTGTTCGATAACTTGTTATGAAATTCATTTTTTATCTAATAAGAGTTTTTATACAAAGGAAGATAAAAGAAAAAAAAAAAGAAAGCAAAGTCATAGAATGCAAACGAAATATCTATATCTTCTTTATTGAATGAAAGAACGAGAGCAGCAGCTTTAAGAACGATCACTAATGGGGAAATTCTCGTTGAGATGCCTTCTCGTTTCTCTCACGAAAGGATAATAAGACTCTCAAGCGTTTAAAGGGTAATCGAATCGAACAGAAGGGAATTTCGCGTTTGCTAACGAGGAAGAGGTTCGAGGATTCTTTAAGATTTGTCTTGTCTATTTCTCTCTCCCTCTTTCCACTTTTTCTTTTCTTTTCTTTTCTTTTCTTTTCTTTTCTTTTCTTTTCTTTTCTTTTCTCTTCTCTTCTCTTCTGTTCGATTCCACTTCTTTAGATATTTCTTTGTGGACCGGGGCCAACATAAAATGATAGGTCGACTACAATAATAGAGCCTACTCCTACCAATGCGGTTGACCCGGTAACCTAATACGTGAATCCCCCCACTCTAGTAGGACTTTTCGTAAAAATGATTGAGTATACTCTCATTCTCTTTCTCTCTCTCTCTCTCTCTCTCTCTCTCACCCTTTTCTCTTTCTTATTCTCGTTCGTGAGAGAAAGTCTCGTTCTGGCGGCTCAGATATAGGCTATGCACGTTGCATTCGTTGGGCGGTGGCTCGTTCGTTCTCGAGATTATATCTCGACGGATGAGAAAAATATAGAGAAAAAAGAGAGAGAGAGAGAGAACATGATGGCATAGAAAAACTAAAGACAAGGAAAAGCAGTTGCTTGTTGTAGGTACTTTTTCTTTTCATTATTTTTTTATTCTTAAATATAAAACAAGGAATCACGAGACACGAAAAATATATCTTAAATAAAAAAAATACAAATATAGTTGGTATCGAAAATGTAGATAGAACGTTATGGAAGAAGACACTTCGCATGGGGAAAGCTCAAGGGAATTGAGGTAAAGTTCGATCGTCGACCCTTTCAATTAATCTTCTTAGACGTAATTAGCCGAGCTACTGGGATCGCTCCGATTAAAAACGTTCGCTCTTGTTGGCTACAATATCCACTTTCAGATGGATTATATAGATATTCGAGGAAAAAGAAGGGCTCGTTATGTGGAAAACGCGACTCCTGCTTTTTTAATATCAACGCGTTTCGGAAAATGCACCTACCTTGATATTTTTAATTTCGATAAATCTACCTACTTCGTCAAATTTCATCCAACTCTATTTAACTATTCATCCCCTCTTCCTCTTACTCTTCTTTTTTTAATAATCTTAACGAGTAAACAACAAAAAAAGAACAAGAATGTGGGTAGCTTCCACGCACGATAGAAATAAAACTTGTATTATTAGGTAAAAAATAATTAAATGATTCATATATAGAGTGAGTGGTTTGTCCCTGAAAATTGTACACCATTACGCTTACTAGATTTTACATTAAAAAGGATGAAGACAATTTTTAAATAAATATATTAGTATATCTTAATTTTGTACATATTTGGACCGTTTATTTCGAAAGTGGTGTAAGTCCATTTAAAAAAAAGTGAGATATCACATAATTTATCAATGCTTTGTCAAATTTAAAATTGACCGATAAAAGAAAGTACTATCAATAATATTTTTATTCGATTCGTCGAGCTTTGTTTTAATTGTAAATCATATTCTTATTTTACTTTTCTATTTTTTGTCTTTTCTTTACAAACATTATCAAGATTACAACGTTTCCTTTTTAATCTTTTTTTTACATCTTTTCGTATCGTCGCGTGTGCTTACGTTCGATCGCGATGTTTTATTCACTCTTTCTTTGAATATTTAGTGTTTGCATTTTTCTTTCTCTCTCTCTCTCTCTAACTCTGGCTGTTTTTTACTATTTCTCTCAAACTTGCAGTACTACCGTCCGAGCGTTTTCAACGATCGACCCTAATTCGTAAACGCGATAAGCACGAGCGTACTCGAGGACGTCACGCGTTATCTCTTCCATTTTGAGCTTTACGAGAGTACGATTTTCTCTCTCTCTCTCTCTCTCTCTCTCTCTCTCTCTTTTCCCTCTCTCTGTGTTTCTATCTATCCTTCTCTCTTTAAATAGTCGCAGTAAAGCAATCCCAATGAAATATTATTAACGAACTTGCACGATACATCGATGATTAGTGATCCATATTAGTCAAGTTGGAATGACTAAATTATTTTTGTAACGATAAAATATATTTCATTACAATTTATGTATGTATAAAAATAAAATAATTTAAATAGAAAGAGAGATAGAAAAAAACTTTGCTTTTAAATATATTAAAAGTATTTTATATTAATTCTTACATATTAAAATAATTCTCTCTCAGAGAGACGCAATTTTGTAAAAAAAAAAATTATTTCGATGGATTATATACGATGATAAAAAAATTGTTTATTCACGTAATCATCTTTCTGAACTAGAAACATAAAATGTATTTTATGTTTAAAATGTTTTTTCTTTCATTGCTTATTAAAAAGATCACATTTGGAGCATTTACTATAATTTCTTTTTATTATATTACTACCAGTATGCACGTGTGTATCTGAAAGTATTTATGATGTCATTAGATGTGTGGATATTTTCGTTAGAAAGGAAAACAGGAGGGTAAACGAGCTACCGAATTCTCCGTCCAGGTTCGTATCGAAAATGTAATTTGCCTTGGCACGGGCCAGACATTAATTAGTCTTTCTCGTGGAAAATCTCATTAACAATTCGCCTGGTCGGTATCCAATGTGGCTCGTATAAAAGTATGATTAATGTGGTGCCAGTGGTCACCACGGGCATAGAACGTTTCTACACACGACTCAACACGATTCTTTTTGCTTTTCTACGAACGACAAATAAGACTGTGTTACACAATTCGTTTATATGCTTTGTTATAGTATACAAATAGAAGTAGAAAGAGAGAGAGAGAGAGAGAGAGGGAAAGCTTTTGAATATACGGGGTGTACCATTTAGATTGGAAAATCTAAATATTTGTCTTGATATTGATTGCCACGAAAAAAACACATGTTAACTTTTTGTTTTCGAGGTTATAAACGTTTTATTTTTGAGATATCAAAGTTGCGAAAAAAGGATTTTGTACATAGAACAATATATTTTCGTTATCGTAGTATGATAGCTCAATGACAACAAACAAGAAAGTAATAAAAACGAATTCGATCGGTATCATCTTTTTTTTAGCTTGAAGGAAAAAAATGCAAACTTTTTACACGTTTTAAATCATTTTTTGGGATCACAATCGTCGTTGATACTTTTGTTATCCCTTCGAATACATTTTTGTTCAGATCCTATAATTTAAGGCTTGATATTTCTAATTCTTTATAAATAAACTTCCTAATGCATAATTTATTCTTATGATCCTATTTAATCTTGTAATGTATTTTTGAAACGATTCCTTCTCTCCCGAATATTATTTATTAACGCTTTATTTCATTTTAAAGGTATTCGTTCGACTCTACATTTTTTCCCACATTCCGACTTCTCTATGAGGAAAAAAAATGCATCAAAATATAAATAATTAATTCTTGCAGCCTTTAAATCTCCAAGACCACAAGTATTTTGTGTTATCGATTCATTTCTCCATTAGGACAATAAACAAATATTTATATGAATTTTTTTCATTGTTTTTGTGTCCCATGTCCATTATTAAAGTGCGTCCCACATTTTACGAAACAACCTGAACATCAGATAATAAATATTCTTACAATCCTTAAATTTATAAAACCAAAATTCTGTTGTATACTCGCTCAGAAATTGGTGTTCCTTTCCTTCTTGTATGAGGAAGAAAACCACAAGGGTGAAAAAAGATTGAAGATTCGGTTGAAGTTAATCGATCGATAAATCATTCAGAGAATTTCGAAGAACGTAAGACGCAACCCCCGCCAACCCCCAACCGTGCCGTTATGAAGTATGTGCCGCATAGTTGCATAAGTATGTTCCCCATGGTGGTACGAGTACACATAGTTACCGAAAACGCTAGAATAAATCAGAATATCTAATTTGTAGTAAATCAAGCACCCTAACTGGCCGTACTAGTGATATTGCACCATTTATATACGTGTGAACGATTTATCGTGACGTACCTTAATTAGATTCATCGAAGATAGTATCGCGAAATAAAAGAGGACTAAATATGTAGGTATGTATAGTGTACATATCTGATACGTGTCTTGTAATCTCTTCAAGAAGTATAGCTATCTTAACAATAAACCAGATTATCTTGTCTTTAGAAGGATTATCGATTTGAACTG